TGACAAGTTAACATTGTTTCATAGGTTAATCCAGTTAATTATGGTTAACCCATTATTATTTTTTTCTATTTAGTTATCAAATATTCATACTAAACTCATATCCAAGGCTCTTGAGTTTGGTATTGCAGCCAGAGTCACCTAAACTTGAATTATGTAAGTTTAATATTATTATTAATATTATTAATATTACTTTTAGGTTAAACGTTGCAGTTAGACCTAAGATTTTTGGATATATCTTTATAAAAAGACCTCACACTTTTAGATTTTAGCTTTTTTTAATATTTTTTATACAAGGAAAAAAAATTAACTCATTGTATATGTCTTTGTTTGTTTTTTTTTTCTTTTTATTTTTTTTTAAGCTTTTTGTTGTGGACTACACGGTGCAGTCCACAATAAAAAAAACTAATGCTTTTAGTTTTTTTCTAACTTTTTTCTTTGTTTTTTAATTATTTTTTAATTTATTTTTTTAATATTAAATTTTTTTTATTTAATTATCAAACTTTTATGACACGGATCTCAGATTTGACAGATTAATTCAGATTTTTTTTCTTTTTTCTTCATTAGTTTTTTTTCTTCCAATATGATTTTTTTCTTTTCTTTTTTCTTTTTAATTAATATGTTTTTAATATAGTTCATTAATATTAATTTTTTTTTATATTTAGTTATCACACTTTCATGACACAAATTCTAGGTTTAATAGGTAGACCTGATTTGGCGAGTTAATCCAGTTGATTTAGATTTTTTTTTTTATTGGTTTTTTCTTTATTTTCATCTTTTAATATTATATACAATTCATATTGAAAAGACTGATACTTTTAGTTTTTTTTTTCTTTTTATGCCTTTTACTGTAAACTGCACAGGGCAGAGTGAAAAAGCTGATGCTTTTTTTTTTATTATTATTACTTTTAATTAATTTTTTTATTTAGTTTGTTGATATTAATTTTTTTTTCTATTTAGTTATCAAACTTTAATGACAGGGATCTCAAGTTTGACGGGTTAACCCAATTAATTTAGATTTTTTTCTTTTTCTTCACTAGTTTTTTTAATTATATTTTCATTTAATTTAGTTTGTTAATGTTAAATTTTTTCTATTTAGTATCAAACTTTCATGACCAGATGTCGAGTTAGCACAATGAATTTTGGGTAACTTGTCAATTGTTTTTTTCATATTTAGTTATCAAAACTTTCACGACACGAATTCAAGGTTTGACCAGGTTACCTGGTTTGAAGGGTTAACCCAATTAATTCAGATTTTTTTTCTTTTTCTTCATTAGTTTTTTTTCTTGCTGTTTTTTTTTGTTTTTTTAATTAATCTATTTAATTGTTACACTTTTATAACAGAACCTTGCAGCTAGACTCACATCCAAGACTATTGAATTTGGTATTACCCATTTAAACTTGGGTCGTGAAAGTTTAATGTTATTATTAATATTATAAATATTACTCTTAAGTTGAGTGTTACAGTCAAATCTAAGATTTTTAAGTATAATTTTATAGAAAGCTTAATATTTTTAAATTTTATTTTTATATATATTTTTTAGACAAAAATCAACTCGAGGAAAATTCATTCAATAAACACAGGCAAGGTAGTTAGTTTTATTAGTAATTTTTTTTTATTATCGGTAATTAAGGTTACTTTCTGGTTTGATGCAGAATCCCAATGCTTATGGTTAATATGACCTAAAAAAAGCATTGATCTCATTCAAACAGATGAAACAAGCCCTGAAATCAAAATTTACTGAGCAGATGGTAGAAAACATGGAAGGAATGTGGGAATCTAATGAAGCCTAGGCTAGTGTCATCCAATGAAGATCAGACCCTACTAATAGTAACCATCTCTTTACAACCAATCTTAGGATCTTAGTTGATGATCTGGATGCGAACCTTTGAGCTTTATTTGTTTCTGTGAAGGATTGCTTGCTTGTGTAATACAGACCTTCAAAGGCCTGTCTTAGAGCAATTACCACGAGTTGCTGTTGACCCTACTTGTTGAACATCAATCTCCTTTCAACTACGGAGATACAACTCCTTAGCTCCATGCCAGCCTCTCTCCTTGCTGCAGGGGATCTCTTCAAGAAAATCTGAGGAAGGTTGTTTCTATTGTTGCTGCCGGTTCTTGGATTAAGTCAATGCTGCTCATGTCTTTCCTGACCTTACTGCAATACTGAAGCTGACATGAACCCTCTGGCCTCCATATGCCATGGAAAATCTTGTGGCATCGATCTTTTTGTTGCTGCTGTTCTTACAGACCAAGTGATGATGCTATGGATGGTTGTTTCCATTTCAGTTTCTAATATGTGTCTTATGAGCCCCAGGTGCAGCGCTTGATGATACCATTTAGGTGGGCTACCTGTGCGATCTCCACACTTGATGGATTTATCCATCTTAACATGTCCTCTGCTGTATACTGTTCCTTTTCTCTACTGGGAATGTGTTTTTGTGTCCTTTTCAATCTGCTGTATTGGAGTGGTTGCTGGTGTCAATGTTGTCTGGGATTTTCATGATTTTGCTTTGAGACGTGCTACAACTTGAGTTTGTGCTGCTGAAACTTGCTGTTGTTAGTCTGTTTACAATGATGCTTCGTTGTTAGTGGTTCTACCCAGTTCATAGAATAGAGTATCTGTGGTTACGATGGTTGTTGCTTGTTCTTCTTTGATCACCATTGTGTGCCATGTGCTACATGCAATTGTAGTAGAACAACATAGATCCTCGTTGTTGCAATAACTTATTTTTTTCTGTTCTATTTTTGTTCCCATGCCCACTGTATATTCTACGAAGTCCTATCCCATCTACTTCTCCCTTCTACCTCTTTAGGCTTTCTGGCATGGCAGGTATCGCACCATTAATATGAAGTTGAAACCAGTCAAGTTGAAACATGCAATCATACAGGCAGATATACGAAAAACCAGGCTCAAGTTCGAGGACTAAGGTGCATACCTAGTCATATTGGAGGCCCGATTAATTAAGCCTGCAAGCATATAACCAAAAACTTCCCTACATGATTTAGTCTGCTCTCTGATACTGATAACCTCTTTATTTA